AGAGAAAAAAGTGAAAAGTTCATTCGAATTTTTTCAAAATCAACATCGTTCCAAGTTTTGGTTCGTTTTCAATTTTTCCTTTCGATATTTAGTTTTCTTGTTTGTTTTTTTCTCAAGAGGGTGGAACTACCAAAAAAAAAGATTACTTATTTTGTTTTCTTTTCAGTTTTCTTTATTACCTAATTTATCAGAAAATAACTATTGATATATGGTTTTTGTCTTATACTAGATACATATTATCGATTTACTAATATATAGTTGAAAAAAAAACGTGTTTTTTTCGACTACCTTTGATCTTACATTTGAATTAGTGGTATTCGCAAAAGATTTTACACGAGATTTTTCGTAGAGTTGAAGTATCTTCAGAGACTGTATGAATCTGTTGAAATGTAGGTCAACCTATAGTAGTTTCTAGTAAATCATTGATACAAGTAAATAAAGTTCTTTTTCTTGCTTGAAAAGAGAAATACATAGATCATGGTAGTAATTCTGTTACAAATAATGAACTGTTTTTGTGTACTCAAAAAGTGAGTACACTCTAGAATCGGTCAGTGTGTCCAGCCGTCCGTCCGACCGTTTACACGATGACTTTTGAAAGAAGAGTCCGATCGCGATGAAGTTTTCTACACAGTTTCATCTCATTAATATCTCGGTTGAATTCGAAGATGAGAACGATTTGCCGAGCCATTACTGAGTTATTGCAAAAATAGTCATTATTTCCTATGCTCTCCTATGCGAAGATCGACCTATTCCCGTTGTCGTAAAAAACTCTTCCTATCATACTCAAATAACACCCCAACTATTATATACCATTCGATAGAGAATTTCACGAGCTACAAAGTGGTATATAAAACATAAAAAAAACAAGAATGCTAAGTCACCTATTGCAAAGATAATTAAACGGAAATACGTTCTGGGTTTGAGTGTGAATATCAGTGGCAGAAAAAGACATCCACCCACCCTAAATTATCTTTACGAACTAAATACTCGCTTCCACGACAAGAATAAATCACTAAAAAAGGGTGTTAGTGTGGGTGTGAGTGTGAGTGTGAATGAAGAGAAGACACCCACACCCACACCCATACACACGCACACCCACACCCACACTCACACTCCACACCCACACCCTTTGTAGTTAACAACAAGCATCGTACATGATGTTTTTGAAATTAGACACTGCCAATGACACAATAAAAATGAAAATTTTTCTAAAAAACTAGAAACATGTTGGCTTCTAATCCGAACTCTTGTGTAAACAAAGTGCATTTACATGCACTAGAGTTTTCTTGATCTGTTAGTGCCATCGAAAGATTAGCAGAATATTTAGATTATATAGGTCGTACAAGTGAGGAGCACTGTATTTTCATTAACGTCTAAGAATCCTTTGAAAACAACAGCAATCTCTTTCTTATGATTTTTCAACTCACAACAAAGCCGTACTTTAAAACCATCATGAAAAAGATCGAATAAATTGAAGACTGTGTTATAAATACGAAAAACACCTAAAAAAAGTTTATCTATTGAGTTCTTGATAGTTCTAAAATGTGAAAATCGTATAAAATCAATCTTAGAGCTACAAAATAGAAAGCTATTGCAAAAACGACAAGACATGAAAGTGAATGTGTTCCTCTCTCTCTGTTTACTGCAAATATATTCTGAATTCTTTAATTGTATACGTGTTTTTCGTTCCTCTTTATTTGCTTATATGGTGTTGCCGATCACTTCTGCTTTGAGTTTATCTTCTTTGTTATTCATCGTTTGTTTAATTTTGATAATCGTTCTCGCATTTATTATTTAAATGTGTAGTATTCAATCATGCGATGGTACCAATGACTACAATCAACCAGAAACTTCAATTTTCGAAATCCATTTCTAAATTATATGCATATTTGCGTAGAATCAATCAATTATGAACAAGTTTAGTGAGCAATTATTTATTTTAATTTAATGTGTCTTTTCCAATAAAATATATACCATGTATACTATAATTCATTATTATCCTAGCTCTTATATCACACTCCCAATGAGAATAGAACTTCTCAGATTTTACGTGTTGAAGTTATTCACACGATATTTCAATAATCACATGCAAAGGCATCATCATGAGATTATATGTTAAATAATTGTCTCTTCTAAAAAATTAATCATAAAGTTCATTTATTATGTTCACAATGTTAGTGTTCTTAAATGTAATTTGGAAAAAAAACTAATCATTGAGCAATGAAAAAAGTTAGAACACAAAGAAAAAAAAAGAACATAAAAAAATAGAATTAAAAAATTAAAGTCATTATGATAAAGCGTAGTAGGATAGCTAGTTGATTAAATTGATTTTTCATCAACAAAAGCTATTTTTAAGTTAAAACAGAATAAAAGAAACAACACAAGAAAAATAAAATATCTCAATGGCATTACATAGAAGAAAAATAAAATGGTTATCAAATAGTAGTGTTTATATTGTCATCAGTAGATACAGAATTAACTCAACATTGACAAGAAGCAAAAATTATGTGCAAAAAGAAGGTCTTAGGTATGGACAGAATGTTCACTTTTTATTTGATGTAATTGTTCGTATCAAGCCTTGGTTGCTATTTATCCTGATAACGTTAATCAAAAGTCTTTTACACGAATTTTTTAATGTTATAACTATTCTAGTCTCCTGTACAAAAATAATCACTGTAAAATCCAGTTACAGTTCTTTGCTTAGAAACATTTGGCAAAGTAATTTTTTAATTAAAAAGACAATATCTCATCCACGAAGCTTACCAGCCATATTTCTTGGTCCAAAACAAATTTGAGAAAGAAGAAAAATCAAACATCTCTAAAGAATTCTTACAACTTGGCATGTGTTGCTTCTTTTGAGAGAGACTAAATAATTTGATTATTCTCATTATATCACTGAGTCACAGCTTTAGAAAATGCCATTTTAAATACTTGTATGATTAGTTTTATAACCTTTATAATTTTCATATAATATAAACAAAACAAGTAATGGTACTTGATATAAAGAATTTTCTTCGAATCATTGATTTGGCTGGAAACTTAAAGACAGCTCTAAAAATACGTTCCTTAATTATCTCACATACGTTCTGATGGCAGTTGTTTGTTCAAAGAAAAAATGCAGTACAAATGTGAAGCTCAACAATGTCATATGTGATCGATCGATCTTTTGACTATCAAAATAAACGAAGTTAGTATTTTACAAGAACTACAAGAACAAAGAGAAAATAAAATCTATTCTCATCTGACTTTGCTTGCAGATGAGAGTCTGTCGCATTGCTACTACACTTCTCGAAAGACTTCATATCAATCATCTTGACATTTCTATCCAATCCAAAGCATGTTGTCTATGAAATTTCCATAGGTTAAGTTTCATCTATTAAGTAGAAGTGTATGTTTTATTTTATAATAAACATTTCAATCGAGTATTTTGCTGACTCCAATTTATGCCTATTAGAACAAGAGAATAATAAAAAATTGATGACAAAAGACTATCATGTACTTTTCTCGTTTCTGTTTCATAAAGAAGTAAATAAGTTGTGCGTTGATCTTCTTCGATTATCAGCAAATTACATGTGTCAAAACAAGGCTTATTTTCTTCTTTCAGCAATCCATAATACACAGGCTTAAATCATATTCAATCTACATTTAGTGATTTCTTTCTCAGGTTTCAAGTTGAATAAATATCATTTTGTGAATAGTAGATGTCAAAGAGATAAGACATAGCAATACATACAGGGTCGTCTAAAAGTAATTGAACAATCTTTTATTACAAATCAATTTTAATAAATACTATGTAGAACACTGCGATTTTTTATCACTGGAAAGATGAAATGGAGACGTATCCTATAAAAATTTTTTTCTAAAATTCTTAAGTTTTCTGGATCAATTCTGTAACAAAATTGTTAGAAAAAAGGATTTCTTATAAAATAAGAAAAAACATACAAGTGTTATTTTTTTAGAAAGGTTAATAGAAAAATTGGCTCAAAGTTTCTAGCATGATATCTATAACTTGTGAACGAGTAATTTTCAAAACCAATTGTTCAAATGAACACATGAAAAGTTTAGTAAAGCCATCCTACAGAATATGTAGGTTCTTGAAAAACTAAATAAAAATATCGTAAACTATTAGACTCGATATCTCTTCATTTTCTCTTTTGAACAGTAAAAAATCATACTTCTTGCTCTTGTTCCTATTAAAAGTTATTCTCAATCAAAAACTGTCCAGTTACCTCTGGGCTCCCTCTGTAGATATACTAGCCATACAGTAGTAGAACGATAAAGACAAACAAGTAAACTTGAATTGGGATTAGATGACCTTTGTGATCTTAAGTGCAAAAAAACAACGCTTTCTATGTTATTCATTCAATCCAATCATTCGATCAGAGTCTTGCTTAGAGATGCCATGTTTCAAACAGTTTTTATTAAATAGACACATATTTTTGAGAGTCACAGTTGTTTTCTAAACAATCTCACTAAATCGATCAGTTTGTTATTTTATTAAATGATATACTGATCGCCTGAAATATTAAAAGATAAACAAGTGATCAACAGATCAAGTTTTTTTTATAGCTATTCAGAGTGAAAAATTTGAAGATTGATATGTTCCTCGCCTGCATTCAAAGAGTTTCAGGCGCTTTTCTTTCTAACTACCAGCTAATATACAATTAATCATTCTGTTTCATTGAGACTGTATGCTATATGAGTCATAGAATGCAAGTTGGAGAGAAGAAAAAAAATAAGTTTTGTTTTCAACCGTCATAGATTATCTTTCTCATGTTTTTTTCATTTTCCCCTGTATTGAATTTCCTACGATGTACAAGCACTGAAACACAAAATCCAAAATGACGTATTATCATTTCCTAACCTTTTGCGTTCTAATCAAAATGACACGACATAATAAACATGTTCTCATGATTATTAAACGTTTACTATATAAATACAAAGAGAATTAGTATAGAAAAGTGTATTCTTCCTCAATATATCAATAAAATCTAATAACAATGTCACGAACAACAATATGCTTAGTATCTTCTTTGGTTATTCTTGTTGCTTTGAATAGCAGTCATGCTTGGAACTTTGGCAACATGGACCAAATTGCACAATCTTTTCTTCAACGACATGGAATGCAAGCATCAGGTAATGGTAATGGTGGCCACGGAAAATTTGCCATAACATCTTGTGTCAGTGCTGCATCTACTGGTAATTATATGGCATGTGTCGGTCAGTTGGCTCATAAAATTTGGACTTTACATAATTGGAGTGAAGATACACCGATTACACTTTGTGGTATGCAATGCATTGGCAATCTTAAAGGACGTATTTCAAAGTTGAAATGGAAATGGGATGCTAAATTTCGATGTGATGGTAAAGCACCAGGTATCTAAGGACATGATACAAAACAGAGTCGAAATGGAGCTATGTAATGGGCTATCCAAGACTTTCTCTCGAAAGCATTTGCATCGGGCAGTATTTCTGTTGAAGATTTTCAATGTTAAATTATAATAGTTATATTTTATTTCATTTTTTTCTTATCAGTGTGACCATCATAATCTGAAAATTCGATTCTCTTTTAACGTTTTCTAATAAAACAATTCATCTTGAAGTAGTCGACTTGAGAGCATCAAGACAGAAATAAATCGGGTACTTTATGAAGTACCAAAGTCTAGTGAAAGACAGAAAGTGTGATTGAGTGTCTTCTCCAAGTACTTCTCATTTATGAACAAGGCGAAAATGAACTCGAAGTACAATAAAATTGGTTCTAAATTTAAAATTGAGCTGAAGTTGATAACGCGTATTTAGGTAAGTATTGACAAGTTAATTTGTTTTATTTTCTTAATAAAGTGATACTCTTAATGCACGAAGGATTGATCATCTAGCTAGAGTTAGCTCAGAAGAAATGTAATCGAGGTCAAAGTAAGGTTTCAACAAGGTTTTATGAAAGTGAATAATAGTAATTCAATATATATATAGTATTAAATAAAGTTATGTTGTGTGTGTGAAAACATGACGCTCATCAGTACTCATATTTCAACGTAGTTGTTATTTGCGAAACATCACTTTCTGAATTTTTGTTTTGTACATGAATCCTATTGCAACTTGGCTAGATAGTGTCGATTCGATGTTGGATTCTCTATTATGACGACGATTCGATTGTGTTTTGAAATTCTGAAAAACTACTTGACATTTATAGTAACAATGGTATCAAGAGAACTGTTGTAGTAAACATTAGGTAGCAAGGCCATTGAAGACACAAGTTTTATTAAAATCGATATAAATTCTGAAAATAAAAATCATGAGAAATTTAAAATATAAGATTATTGTCTATTCGGATAATTTTAATTAAAAACAAGCATTAGAATTGTGTCGAGCAGATTCGGAATTTTGATTTTATGTTTGCCAATGGAAAAACAAGAGATGTGCGTTGGCATTCGACAATAGTGATCACTCATCATAATATGTTTTGATCAAAGGTTTTTGTTCACATATTCAATCGTTCTAGAAATTGATTGATTAAGCGGCATAATGGTTCATTGTGTTTGTTTTAAAACCATTTCATACTTAGTTTACGATAGTATGAAAATTGTTTCTGTTAATTTTTTGGTTTTCATGATGATAGATAACTTCTTGTCTGATAATATTCCTGTCATTTTCAAAATAGACAAGAAAATTTCATCGATGATTCGGTCGATTTGGTTTTGAATATTTTGTGTATTTACATGCTATCTTTATTATTTGCTAAGAGTGAGTAACAAACAAGTAAAGACAGAGAAAAAAAGAACTAGAGGGAGGATGGGTGTGGGTGTGGGTTTGGGAGTGAGCTGAAGTCTCCTGTTCTTTCTCACCTACACCCATACCCTTTAAATCGAAAATTACGAAAATTGTAAGACATATGGAAATAAAATGTTCGGTGATGACTGGACATTTCAGCAGGACAATGCAACACCACATACCCATCATTTAACACAAAAATAGTGCAATGATAAAAATAATTTATCGTCATTTATGAGCATAGAACGTTGGTCTGCCAATAGTCCAGATTTGAATCCTTTGGACTATTGTATATGGAATGAGCTCGTGCAGGCACTGGGCTGGAATAAAGTCAAAACGAAATTGAAATTAATAGCTGAATTAAAACGAGCTGTGACAAAAGTTGCAACAGATGTTGTTGTGCAAAATGTAGAGGATTTTAGCAAACGAATGTGTCGTGTATTGCAAAATGATGGTGATTATTTACGTTAAACAAAATATTGTCATTTTGTAGAGCGTTTCATGGAGCATCTTTGGGTAAAAAAATAAAGTTCAGAAAATAAAGCCTTATTCGAGATATGAGTGAAAAATAAAGTGACCGATTATTTCTCGACCACCCGTTAGCTAAGGGGCAATAGTGCTTAGCCCTAAAGCGGCAGCTCATAACTCGCTCATAAGCCATAGAAATCGTGGTCACAAAGTAGAAAGTATATGTAAAACCTATGAAATACCCAAAGGGAAAACAACTGATTTAAATCAGCTGAAAATCAAAATTAAATCACATAAGTCACCTTAAATCATTTTAACTCACAATGGAACTGTTTGTACTGGTACATGAGTTGACTGACCATGTTCAAGTCAAATTATCATTCTCACCATTAAATTAACGAATTTAAAATATTATGTGCCCATAGCAATTACAGATCGAGATATTCGATTTTTATAGATATTCACCATTTTCGTATAGGAACATTATTATATGAAAATTAGTCATATTCAATTTTTTTATACAAGCATTGGATTTTGGGGCAAGTAAGTTTTTTAATGTTGTTTTGATAAAAAATTGTCAACTTTCCCCTAGTATGGTATTAGTAAATTTTCAGAAGAAGCTGAACCTAATGTTATCGATAAATTCCAACAAGATTTAAAAAAACTTACTTGCCGTAAAACTCAATGCTTGTATAAAAAATTGAATATCTGGATCTATGATTGCTATGGGCACATAATATTTTAAATTTGTTAATTTGATGATGAGAATGATAGTTTAACTTGAACATGATCAGTCAACTCGCGTACCAGTACAGACGGTTTCGCTGTGAGTGAATGTGCAGAAAGGAGAATCTAAAACAAGGGGGAACAGCGGACTTCAAGACTTCAAAAGACTTCAACAGACTTCATCAGACTTCAGCCGCTGTGACTTCATATTTTCACAAGACTTCGAAAGACTTCTAAAGACTTCTGAGGACTTCATATGACTTCAAATGACTTCGCAAGACTTCATAAGACTTCGTATGACTTCATGGGACTTCATGGGACTTCAAAAGACTTCCAAAGACTTCTTTAGACTTCACAGACTTCGTGAGACTTCACGGACTTCATGAGACTTCACGGGACTTCAGAGACTTTGTAGGACTTCTTGAGTCTTTATAAGACTTCATCAGACTTCATAAGACTTCACAAGACTTTATAGAACTTCACAAGACTTCACAAGACTTCATAAGACTTCACAAGACTTCACAGGACTTCAAGAGGCAGATTCCATGCGTATCAAAAAACCTCATAGAAATTACATGAAACCTCTATAACATGCAAAAAAACAAAACTTATCAAATAGTAGGGATGTCATTTATCGTTTACTTTATAATAAATATAAATTATTTATCATTTAATTTACGCGTAAATTAAATGGAAAATAAATATAAATTGACACCCTTATTCATAACAGAGTAACTAGTGTCTTCCGAGAACCACGAACAGGAATGATATTGAAAATTGATTGGTCCCAAAAGTCTGTTTTGTGGAACTCACGTATATTTTCGAAGAAAATAGTGAGTGTAAGTTTTCAGTTCGAGGTTTGGCGTCTCCCCCTCCCCCCACCCCATTACGGACACTTAGCAACGGAGAAAGAGAACGTTACAGACAAGGGGGAAACAGCGGACTTCAAGACTTCAAGACTTCAAAAGACTTCAAAAGACTTCAACAGACTTCAACTGCAGTGACTTCATATTTTCACAAGACTTCAAAAGAGTTCTAAAGAGTTCTGAAGACTTCATAGGACTCCAAATGACTTCACAAGACTTTATAAGACTTCGTATGACTTCATGAGACTTCATGAGACTTCAAAAGACTTCGTTAGACTTCACAGACTTCGTGAGACTTCACGGACTTCATGAGACTTCATGGATTTCATGAGACTTCAGAGACTTTGTAGGACTTCTTGAGACTTTATAAGACTTCATAAGACTTCATAAGACTTCACAAGACTTCAAGAGACTTCATGAGACTTCATTAGAATTCAAGAGGCTTCAAGAGACTTCATGAGACTTCAAGAGACTTCAAGAGACTTCATGAGACTTCATGAGACTTCATGAGACTTCATGAGACTTCACAAGACTTCACAGGACTTCAAGAGGCAGATTCCATGCGTATCAAAAAACCTTATAGAAATTACATGAAACTTCTATAACATGCAAAAAACAAAACTTATCATATAGAGATTACAAAAGTGTTTCTTGTTTCTGAGAATTGTTTCTCGCAGTATATCTATATCTAGAATAAAGATGTGACAATGACACAAAGCGTTGATGAAATTAAAACAGAGAAAATAAACTTTACTGGTATGCGTATGTTTGATTCGATTAATCCAGCATTGGAAAACTCCTATTCTCAGGTGCAAATAAATAACAAGACTAAATTTATACACAAGCAAACGACTAGTTGGTTATTGACCGACGAAGCTAGCCGTTTATCGGCTGATAGATTATCACGAGTGATAGAAATAAACAAAAAGGAATAAAATTCTTCATAAGATTGACATCGAATAAATGAAACATTTCTTATAAAAATAAACCACTTCATTCAAAAAGCATTCAGTTCTTAACTATCATGTTTTCTAAGATCCAACAAACTTGAATTTTTTTCCAGTACCTTGACAAACAAATAATAAAAAGTTCACCTTTCTGCTAAAATAAGACCGTCGAAAACAAGACAATTTCATTGCTTTTTTATGAATTTTCATGCACTAAATGTATTTCAAAACTTCCATAAGAATTCATGAGACTTCAAAAGACTTCAAAAGACTTCAAGAGACTTCAAGAGACTTCAAGAGACTTCATGAGACTTCATGAGACTTCATTAGACTTCATGAGACTTCATAAGACTTCATGAGACTTCATTAGAATTCAAGAGACTTCAAGAGACTTCATGAGACTTCATTAGACTTCATGAGACTTCATGAGACTTCATTAGACTTCATGAGACTTCATGAGACTTCATTAGACTTCATGAGACTTCATAAGACTTTATGAGACTTCAGAAGATTTTATGAGACTTCAGAGACTTCAAGAGACTTTATGAGAATTCATGAGAATTCATAAGACTTCAAAGAGACTTCAGAAGGCTTCGAAAGACTTTCAAG